CAGCTCTCCATCTTCCCAAGCGCACATTGTCTGATATAAAGTGAAATTAACAGAGAAGACAGATTCATTTTCATGTTCTAACAAGTGGAATCTCTGGCTTATACAGTATATTACATCTTCGTGATCTCCAGTACATCCAACAAGAACGTTTCATGTATAGTTACTAGAGTGGGAAGATATTGATGAGCAAGTGCATAATGTTGCTTCAACGAATGCTTTTTTCCAACATCGTTGTCCTGGATAGGACCAAGAAGTAATGAGGGTGATTTGGAAAGTGCGTTTTCTTAGCGCGCTTAGACGTGATCGTCGCAGGAAACTATTTGAAAAGTTTTATGAAAATTAGCAGTGTAAACCATTCATATTACTGACGGGTGTTTGTTTTTTTGTGCTAAAATCCTGTAGGGCGAATTGACGACCTCATTTAGTGGATTTACGGCGATCTACCGATTTAACTCTAGGAATGGCCGATGTTATTTCTTCGGCCGACGCCGGCCTGAAGAGGTTGTTTAATAAGTCCAACTTCAACGCGGACAAGTGTACGCACTAAATCCTTAAATTTCTTTGTGTTTGCTTCGGTTGTCTGTCGCACACTAGTATAAAAGTCCAAAGTCCAAGCTGTCTGCCGCTGCACTGCCCAATAGTTAGGCTTGGTGCGTGCAGAAAGTGTCCTTATCGTAGATTGCAACGTTTATATTTCCCTCCTTGACTGAGATAGGGTTATCATTTACGGACTGGGACTCTCGTGTACACGCATGTATGCGCATGTGCTTTGTTTCCTGTGTTGTAGCCGGCATCTTTCGTCCTATATTGACTTTATGCGTCATTGTTGATGTATGTGACCCCGATTAATTGCACTATTTCGTATTGGTTTCATCCTTTGTGCGAACAGCGCAGTGTGAATGGGTGTAGCCAAGGAGTTCGCATAATTTTCGAGAGAAATAGAGTTCTCGGTTTGACACAAGAATCGCCAATGGTTAAATAAGGGTGTCAGGAGTTTTTTGAGTGTACGCATCTTTCCCTTGAGGCACATTTGAACGACGCTTGTATAGTATCTCTGTCTACGGCTTTTGGCTGCTTCAGCATTCGTTGTGTTCCTTTTTTACTTCATACGTACTCGGGACTTAAGTCACGAAAAATGTATTTTTTGCGTATGTCCTTTACTGGTGATCTTTCTATACAAATTCCCAATGCAGCTGACCCTATAAGGCCACTCTTTCATCTTAAGTGTTGCCACTTAGACCAGCTGTCTTTCTTGGGTGACGACTTTGGATCTCACGCCCTTTCAGATATAGGCGCTAGGCCCTTTATCACGCCGTAGCAGCCGCTCTTAAAGGCCTTCTCTGTTTGTATTGCCGTGAGTGGGGACTTGTGTTACTCTCTTCCTCCACTCTTCATCAACTTTTTCAAATGGATGCTTACATGCTCGGCTTTCTCATACCACTTTTATCATCTCGTTTGCCGCTATACCGAAGTGCAAAGTAAGCACTAACCGATTAAAAACGCAGTTTGCTCGCTGACTGGTCGTTCTGGATCATTCAGAATTTTCTCGCCAACACCAGTGGTACACCTCATTACTTATTTCTATGTCCGCTATGACCTAAAGTATCATTACTTAGAAGAAGCCCGTGTCAACCGTGTTAATCATGTTTCTGGTTCTACTAGTCGTGTAATTCAATCTGAGTTCGGCGTTCTCCCCCTTCAAACAATAGTACGCACTGGCCGAGTTTGAATTTAGCCCAAACGTAGACGCTGTTATGTTTAGGTTGAAGCCCTGATGAGAGTAACTTCCAGCTTCTATGTTTGCCCACTCTCCCATGTTATTTTATCGATTTTGTGCATGCAAAACACTTTAGTCATCGCGCGAGTCTCCCAAAATGGTGGGACCGACATCCTTCACACGGTGCAAAACCTCAATAGAATGACAGATGAAGCCTCCACTCAAATGAAGCAGGCTATTTATAAGAACTTTAAGCTCTTCATCGAGGCTGGAAAGGCCGTCACAAGTCTTGGAGCAACCATGCATCAGCTCGACAATCAACTCCTTGAGCAGAAACGTATCCTTAAAAATCTAACTGAAAAATCTCTCTTTCCCGACATCACCAATCACGAAACTAATTCCACTGCTGTGGACGGCAGCTCTACAGTCGTATCGGGACTGTCTTCATTGTTGCACACTGTGGACGGCATATCCGTAAGCTTTCTTACTTTCTAATATCCACCCTCCTCAGAACTTGATCTCAGATCCGAATCGTCACTTGTTGTTTGAAGCTGATGCAAGTGAGATCAATTCGGCTTCACATCTACGGCAGGGCGATGTGCACCTTTTCCTCTTGTCTGATTACGTTCTTGTTGCCAAAGCACAAGAGGATTCGTGAGTTTTTCATTAATTTCTGTGCTTCCCATCTGCCTGCTGTCGCCTACTTATTTGTACTTTTCACAACTGAGTCCTTAAGGTTAAATAAGCATCTGGTATGTTGGTATGACAGCTAGTTGGGTGGTCGTCAGGCGGTAGTTCCGTTTGTTAGCGTCTGGCTTAGGAATGGTATTTCTTCTCCACAATTTTGTCTGAACACAAGTTGAAGATGTGACGGTGGTCACTGTCGACCACAAAAGAGAACCCAGTACATTCTGTCTAGTAAGGAACCATAGCAGATAAACTGTCATTCCGACTGCGCCACGCCCGACATTATTCCTATGCAAAATGATGAGTGATTCACCGTCTTTATGCGATCTTTAGTTGTGTCCCGTCTCCTCGAAACTCGTATCGGGCTTTTAATTCATGAGTATCCAGTTATCAAGCGTTTGCTTTGCTTTCTCACACAGTCGATCCGGTCGACGACTTTACTGTTTGCAGCATGTAGCTTTAATGTCAACGGGCTCTTTAGATGACACGTGTTTTTGCTTTACTTTACACATTTCATCATTATTGGACTATTTTTGCTCAGCTACTACAATTATAAATCCAGCTTTACTTAACATAGTCCTTCTCGACCGGGATTTTTAGGAATAATTTTGTTCACTACCGAAGTTCATCCCTCCCGCCATCGTAGTATGTGCATCTAGCATACAGTTATCCAACACATTCATATAGTTATTGCGGTCGCCGATATAAATTAAAAATTCTGAGTTTAATTTGCAATCTAAAACATCCACTCTAAGCGTCATTTTTTTTCTATCCGCTCCAATAACTTTTAGTTTCGAGCACTCCAAATATCAAAAGCAGGCACTGTATGAAATTGAGAATATCTCTGCCGTGAACGTGAAGGCCAGTTCTGAAAATACATCCCAGAATCTGGTGAAACTACTTGTTTTTCCGGACTATCGTCTCTTTCAGTTCGAGTCAATACAGGATAAGGTTTGTCATTTTTCGTCTTGAAATAGACATCCTCCCCTCAGCGCGCGTTTCTCGTCGCACTTGAGGAGGCAAAACGACTACACGTCTCTGGCGGCGACTCCTTTGCCTATTCTGAACCTGCCGGCGCCTCTAGTACATCTATAAGTGAATTTAACGTCTCTTCACTAGGACTTAACTTCATTGGCCAGCGCGACGGCTTCGGTCAAGGTTCTACGATA